TAGTTTATAATCAATAGAATTAAAAAATTGATTAAAATCATTCATACCACACCTTGTGCAATATCTTGCACATAGCAGGTATTCACAAAAGTCTATTAGATGTATGGTTGTTGACAAAATTTTAATTCATTGATTAGTGAAGAAGTAACTCCTAAAATAATAGTGCTTCCATATCGGGGACCCTAGCAACCATTGGATCTAACACTTTCACTGACAAGATATAGACACAGAACCCCAGAGAGTTTAGTAAATTAACAAATTTCACTCATCCATGTTTTCAGAAAACTTAAGTCACAAAATTCACTTTCTAAAACTACTATAACAGTAAAACAGGTGTGTTGTTAGATCCTTGTTAACCAAGTACTACAAAAGTTGGGCATTACTCGCAAAAGAACAAGCAGAAATGTTGTTCACTCATTATTCCCTTAGAAGTTACCATGTTCCTTTAGAAGCTACTATATTCTCACATGATCCAGCCTCTCTACCTACAATTGATTGATCAGTCTGAGTTCTGAAACTCATTACCCCAATGCTTGTCAATAGTTAAATAGCTGAGCTTGGGGCATCTCTGTTTAAAGTTAGGTCAAGCAAGTCTTTCCTCTAAAATTATTTTAACTATTTCCATGAAGTAAACCCAAAGATTTAAAACTTAAGCGCCATTGGTCTATATGTTAACTTCACATAGCAGAAATCTGTTTTAAGAAAAAAGTGGTGTCAAAGCAGTAGTGCACTCAGGTAGCTTTACTCACAACCATAAATTCTTCTAAGAAATTCTTCATCTAGGACTTCAAAGATCTATAAATAAAGTTCCAAAGAAAATAAGCAAGTGAAAGTCAAACATCTCTAAACATAAAGGAAACAAGCCACCATGGGTGAGATCCAACAACAACAAAAAAATACATAAGAAGAGTTACAAAATGTTACTATTGGCTGGGTGCGATCCAGAAGCTGAGGCAGGAGCGTTCAAAGCCAGCCTCAGCAACAGTGAGGCACTAAGCAACTCAGTGAGATCCTGTCCCTAAATAAAATACAAAATAGCTGGGAATTTGGCTCAGTGGTTGAGTGCCCCTGAGTTCAATCCCCAATACCTGCCCCCAAAAATGTTACTATTAGAGATATTAAACACAGGATACAGACTAAGAATGCTTACAGTTGTTTTTTAATTTAACAAAATTAATTTTTATTGCTTCATCATGCCAGTCTTAATTGAAATAGACATTTTATACTTCTAGTGCTTGGTAGTGAAGAATCCAATGACTATACGTAAGTACACTTTAGGGTCACTGTTTAGACTCATGCTAAGGTGCCATCTTTTGCATCATCATCATCAAATGTCAACACACTAACCAAATGTTCTTTCTGATAAGTGGATGCTTATCCATAATGGGGGGTGGGGACCCTGGGAAAAATGCAGAAGTTTTGATTGGGCAAAGTGGGGAGAGGAGCAGGTATGGGGGCAGGAAAGATGGTGGAATGAGATGGACATCATTACCCTAGGTATATGTATGACTGCACAAACGGTGCAATGCTACATCACGTACAACCATAGAAATGAAAAGTTGTGCTGCCATTGTATACAATGAATCAAAATGCATTGTGCTGTCATATATACCTAATTAAAATAAATTAATTAATTTAAAAATGTCAACACACTAAAAAATGCAAACTTTTTAACATGATAATTAAAATAGTTTTGAACTTTCAGAGGGGATTTAGGAGGGCTTCAGGGAGCTGCAAACTACACTTTGAAGACCATGAACTTGGACTAACCTGGATTTACACTTGAGCTTGCAATGGGAACAACTATCCTTTTAATCATATACGAATTGAGGATGGCTGAAAAATATAAAGTTTTTAGCAAGAAGGGCAGGCGAGTAGATATTAAGGCAATTTACATGGTGTGCTACTGAATTTAGAAGTTAACAAAGTTTGCTTGAGATAATGTTAAGTACAAAATTCTTGAGAATTATACAATAATCAATCATAGCATTCTCTAAGTTGAAACAATGCTTAGTGTTGTATAAAGAACAAGCAGAAAATCAATCAGCATAATCACTCATGTCCAGCATCTTCACTAGATCATAAGCACCTTGAGAAGGTAATGACCATAACTAAAACAATACTATTATAACCCTGCATGGCAGAGCCCCTGACATATTTTAAATGTTCATTAAGTTTACTGAATGAATGAACAGATTAATAAAAATGGAGAGAATATTCTCAAATTCAGGGTATGATTATTGGCAGCAAATAGAATGATGTTTCAAAGATGATGATATAACAGAAGAAGCAAAGAAAAAGAGTCATTAAAGGCAATTCTGAAGGAGTATTTACAAGGAAATTAAATTGCCAATTCACTGTATTCTTCAGTTTCAAGTTTTTTTAACAGCTAATTCCAGCTTTATCTCTATAGGAATTAAATATGACATCTAAGAATGACTGCACTGAGGCATAAATGGGTGTGTGCAGTTGTGCTGTCTCATTCTTCTAAATCAGTGAATCACATCCATTGGTGAGCTCTTAATATTCCCTTCTTTAGATTCCATATTACAAAGAATGTCATTTACTTTTAACTGATCTTCATTTGTCTCTTTGAAAGGCAGTGTAACTGTGTAAAAACTGATTTGCTATTGCATCAATACTTGAACCCTTCCCAGCTTACAACTTTCCACCCAGAAAAAAATATCTTTTAGGAAGAAGAGGCACTAGCAAAAGAATTTTAAAAATCAGTTTTAATAAAGATCACTTTAAAAACTCTTAGATATTAAATTTCTGAAATTTTGTGGCAATATGATTTTTATGCTTGTCCACTTCTATTTCAGATACAATTTAATAATGACTTCTTGAAAGGTTTTTTTGCCTCCAAATTATCAAAAATGAATAATTAAGTTCTGAAAGACTTGTATCTAATTCTTAATTCTTAAGGCAAATCAGCCAAATAAAATTCCATCATTCAGCCTAAAATTGAAACAAAATAGAAATTCCTCTCATACAAAATCAATCGTAGAAATCCACATTTTGAATCTTCTACTGACAACTACTGTTTATAATAAAAAGAAACTACTTTCAAAATAATTTTTAAGATTAATATCCATTTATCATCCTTTTGAAAGTGTTATATGTCACACGTTTAAAAAAAATATAGACTCTGAAACTGATTGACCTGAGTTTTCAATATTGTAGTTGTCCTTTTCTGAAAAATATAATCTACAGCAAATTAATTTCTCCACTAAGAAACGGCCTACCACCATATCTTTCCTGACTCTTTCTTCATACAGAAAGTATTCCCCAACTTTTGGCTTGCTGCAGCTGTGTTTGTAACTCATAGAACTTTTCTATTTTTGTTTTAATCTTCTTATACTCTAATCTAATCTGTGCAACAAGTTCTTCAAGTTCTTTGGAGGCAATGCCTATGTTTTCCTCATTTCTGTTCTTGCTACAGAGCAGAACACTGGGCCTGGCACATAGAAGCCACAAAACCTTTCTGTATGAGCTAAAAGAAATAAGAAAAAGCAAGGAATAAACATTTATTGGGGGTCTACAATACACTAGTATTTACAATACGTGTTTTCACACATGCTATTTCACTCAACCTTCACAATATTCCTTCTCAACAAGTATTACTATCCTTGTTTTCTGGTTAAGGAAATTGAAGTTGAGAGAGGTTAAACTCACTTTTCCCTCCAAGGTGTTTACAATCTAATTTGGAGATGTACTGTGTATATTAATAACAAAACAATGTAATGGGAATGTAATATAATGTTTCAAGTAAGTTCAAAGGAAAAATTAGTTCTAGTGGGAATGATTTGGGATGATTTTACCAATGAGGCCAAACCTAGATATTGTCAATAGATGGAGATACAGAACATTCCCAAAATCTTAAAGAAACTTTCTAACAGGCAGTTCCTCCTCTAGTCTCAGGGACTTCTCATTCCCCAGTTAAACACTGGAAGGTTACATAAACTTTTACAAAATAAACCAATGAAAACAGAATTTAATTAGAAAAACAAGCTTTGTATTTGTACCATACAATGTTTAATAATAGTGTATAACATTTATTGAAGACTTATTAGATATCAGAAGTCTTGTGTGAAGGGCTTTTCATAGGTTGTCTAAGAACTAAATGTTCTTCCAACATCCCACAATTATTCTGATTTCACAGAAAAGAAACTAGGCTTGAAAAAACAGTCTTAAAATTCTTACAAAGAATCATATTTCTATTTAAATGACTGAAGCAAGAGTTGGGCTTAGTTCATCAGATTCCAGAGCAAGCTCACAATGGTATATGTACAACTATTTCAAACCAAGGAACATTTGTGTTAACTCCCATAAAGAAATCTTAACTGAAGCATACGGACTTCTCAAGTTACACAAGGATCTAAAGCATTCAATGTTATTTGAAAATTGAATAAACAAGTAACTATCACAGAAGGTAATAAAAAAAATTTTCCCCTTGACCTATAGTTGTTGCCAAACACTGTGTTTGTATCACTCCCATCTAAAGAAAGAATATAAACCCTTACTTTCCTGCCACTCCCACTTCAGCATTTTTTAATACAAACCTTTTTCATGTACTCTTTTATTATGTTCAATTTATTGAGTTCATTTCCTCACCCCTCCAGAGACTGTCTTTCCGTAAACGGATCCAGAGACTGACTTCTCTAATAGTATTTGATGGTAATGATGATTGCAATGATATCCACCCACCACTAAGAGGAGTACTACACAAACAATCTAAAAGAATGTCATAATCCAATGAATGCCTACTTAATGCCTTAGCTGTTTTAGAAAGCATGATGAATATGTTCAGCATAATCTCAACTGCCACTTAACAACTAAATCTTTAGGATGAATAAGATGAGGAAGTTCACCAAGAAATTTTTGAATTTTACTCTATTATGTCATGCAAATATGTTGGTCTGGATTCAAATTTCTGAGCTAAGCAGACACATAAATACCACCTTACATTTCCATAAGGGCTATTATAGCTCCTGCAAAAAATGGTGTTCAGGCTGAAGCTTATTCTGTTCTTAGTATTGCACTTTTTGCCTAAGGTGAAAAGCTCAATGGTAAGTTTGAATAACAATGGATATGAAGATATTGTCATTGCAATTAATCCCAGTGTACCAGAAAATGAAACACTCATTCAAAGAATAAAGGTAAGAGAAAATTTTATTATCCACATATTTTTGTTTCAGTGACTATCTTTACCTAGACATACATAACACTCACACAGTTATAGCTTCCCAAAGTTGCTTGACAGTGTTCATCATTTATGTAGTATTTATCTAAACTTTCAAGATTAATATCTGCTAGTTTTATGTTTTTATTATATATTAATATAATTCCCTTAATGGATTATTGAAAGACTGAATTACTAAAGATTTTTTCAACTAATAAAGCTAACAGAAAAACTTAAGAGAAAGTAGAGAAATGTCCTCATAACTTGTCTACAAAAATTACTTTTATCAAGTTTAAAAAACTAATCTACACTTAAACTGAAGAGGCTCGCTATCTTACATTATTTCCCGGTTATTTATATTTGTTTACCTCTGGAAAATATAACATAAAAATGTTATGTACTTTATGTTAAAGAAAATATTTTTAAAATTGATTTATCTTCCTGATTTAATCTGTATTAGTATAACAAAAAACATTTTATATATGACATTTTAATATCTGCTATCTTCCTTGATCCTCTCAATATCCCAGTGAGGAGGTCAAGAATTGGGATTATGACTCTTGTATAAATCAGAGAAATTAGGTGATTTGAACAGACATACGTAAGTGGCAAAAGTAAATATTGCTGTTTGATAAAACTTCAGTATTTTTTTTTCCATGCTGGGAATTGAACCCAGGGTCTTGTGCATGCTAGGCAAGCACTCTACCAACTGAGCCACATCCCCAGCCCAAAACTTTTAGTCTTTTATGAGAAAATTCAAAATAAATCTAGCAAGTTTTAATTAACAAGTATAATAATCTTTAAACTTTAAACAAACTTTAAACTCCCAATTTACTTAAACAACCCAATCAGAAGAACCCATTTGATTAAATAAGCAACTTATCAACTAGCTCCCAGTCTTAATCACCTTTGTATCTCACCCAGCACCCTCATTTCCATCTTCAACTCATAATGCTCCATGGCAGTTGTGGACAAGTGAAAAACAGTTGGCTTTGGGAGTCATATGAAAATAAGTTTATAGACTAGAGAGATGTAATAAAATTCAGCCTATTCTTCAGTGATAGTCTTTAAACTATCTGAGGAAAAGGAGTTTACATTTGCTTCTTCTAGTTTGTATGCCTATTTTTATGCTTATTTCACTGCAAAATTGTTACCATGAGGTACTTTTTATCAGGAAATGGTAACTGAAGCTTCTACATACCTGTTTCATGCCACGGAAAGAAGAGTTTATTTCAGGAATGTAAGCATCTTAATTCCAGTTACCTGGGAGTCAAAATCTGAGTACTTAATGCCAAAGCAAGAATCATATGACCAGGTAGGCTATTTTGTGTAGTTCTTAAAGTGCTTTCTGTGGTTTTTTTAAAAATTCATACTTACAACTTTTGTAATTGCTAACTTAGTAATTAAATTAGAAGTAACTTTTCTTAGTGTAGACGAAAATTCCTTGCTTTTAAAATCCCCTTAGAATTTGCTTCCATTTTTTTTTTTTATTATTATTTGTTTGTTTGTTTGCTTGCTTGCTTTTCAGGCAGATGTCATAGTTGCTGATCCTTACCTGAAATATGGAGATGATCCCTATACTCTTCAATACGGACAGTGTGGAGAGAAAGGACAATATATACATTTCACTCCAAACTTCCTGTTGACTGATAATATGTCTATCTATGGGCCTCGAGGTAGGGATATTTATTTTATATTTATGTTCTTACTTCCAATGGGGGGAAAAACACATAAAATGTGATTAAGAGAATTTTTAAAGATTTTTAAGAAAAAAAAATAGGTATTAAGTTATACTTTTGTTTGGAAATATGCAAGTTATATTTAACCTATTTCTTTTGTGTGATGGGTTTAATAATAAAATGAGTTGTGGGCTGGGATTGTGGCATGATGGTACAGCACTTGCTTAGGACATGCGAGGCCCTGGGTTCAATCCTCAGCACCACATAAAAATAAATAAATAAAATAAAGATATTGTTTCCAATTACAACTAAAAAATAAATATTTTTAAAAATAAATAAATAAAATGAGTTGTTTATTGGTGCTAACCCATTTCAACTTTTTTGACCTAAAGAAAAGTGTTAATTTCTAGAGGATCTTGACTCAGTTAGGTTGGTAAATAGGGAGAGATTTAAAATATAAGGAAACTGTATGAAAATATTAGAAATATAAATTTATAAGTGGCAATATTCTCTCATAGGCAAAGTATTTGTCCATGAGTGGGCCCATCTCCGGTGGGGAGTGTTTGATGAGTATAATGTGGACCAGCCATTCTATATTTCCAGAAAGAACACTATTGAAGCAACAAGGTATCACTGTATTGAACAACTTCAGTTTCAAAACTTTTCACTTAATGATTTTCCAATTTTTTACACTACACAAACAAAGACTATCTCTCAAGTGGTTGAATTTTCATATGGTAAATTACAATTTCCAACCTGCACCATTATGAATGTATACAATTATGTCTGGGGAGTCCATCTGGGAATCAAGATCAATCAGGAACTGGGAATCATTTCACCACTCACAGAACTGTACTAATGTGTGTTACTGGCAAAAGAGAAAGAAAAAAAAACCAAACCCTAAGAGATCAGAGAATTAGAATTCAACTCTACCCACTTTTTTGTTCAACTTGATTCATAATTTTTTAAGATGAAATCTGCTTCATGGAGGTAAGTTAAGCTGCTACAATTTCATGGTAAATATATTTTAGTTTTCATTTGAGGAAACTAGATATATTTTACAAGAGTAAGTGAGTAAATCTGTTTTTTTAAGAAATATAATTCTGGGGGTGGATAGAAACAGGTCCTATATATAAATAGATAAGATGTTTAAGCTTTTTTAAAAAAATCAAGCATATGCAGTACTTAAAAGAGTACTGAATAACTACAAAAATCAATGTAATAAAAAAATAAATCTTTGAGAGAAAAAATGTATTAAAGAGGGGCGCTAGAAGAAACGGCTCTCCCTGGTGCTCTGTATTTGTTCACCTGTTCTTCACTGAGCTGCCTGGAATCTTTCACACAGACCAAGTGAGTGCTCAGCCCAGAACACTCATGCCTCCCACCCTCATTTCACAAAACTCCTAACTTGTCCTAAAATACCTATTGATCTGGTGACCTGCATGGAAAAGGAAAAAAAAAATACCTATTGATCCTTTAAATGCTTCTCTAAATGCCTTTCCTTTCCTTCCATTTGAGGTTATATGACCTAGGGAGAGGTCCCACAGCAATATGTCTTTAACACTTACATCACATAGCAATTGTCCATGTAACTTGATTTTCCTCACTACACTTCAAGATCCTTGAGGACAGTGACTTTTGTTTTTAATCCCCTATCCTTGGGTCTGCTAAAAAGGCAAAGCAAAACAAATAATCAAAAAGTAAATTTTTATAAATTAATAAAAATGAGTTTCCTTATAATCAGTTATTCAAAAAGATATAAAAGTAAAAACAAATATCTAAAACAACACTTATTGAGCTCTTATGTGTGACAGGCACATTAAGGCAGTGGATTCTTATCATGTTTAAGTTCAACTTTCAGACTAACTCTAGAGCTAATTCTCTTGGAAGATATTACTCACCATCTCCTTTAATGCTTGAAAAACAAACAAGGACTAATTTCATGAAATTTAAGAATAACATAAAATGAGAATACACTACATATAAGCAGATTCTATAGAAGCTTCTCTCCTTTCTCTCTCTCTCTCTCTCTCTCTCTCTCTCTCTCTCTCTCTCTCACACACACACACACACACACACACACACACTCCCTGCCAGTGACTTGATAGTTATTTTCATCATGCAAATGAAATAGTTTGAATGCACATGCATCTGCATGCAGGGTTTATTTTTTATTTCTTCCTTCAGTCTAGGCTATTATTTCTCAAAACGTAAATTACCAAGTGCTAGAAATATGAAACTTGTGTACCACACATGCAAACTGAAAGGACCTTAAACATAATGTTGATTTTCCCCTCCCCACTAAGAACCAATTCCTTTGTATCTTTTAACTCATTTAATTTTCAAATATCTCTGTAAATTAGGAATTGTCATCTTTAGCCCAAAGTCACAAATATAATAGATTTATTGATAACAATAGTGAAGAATGAATGTTTAATAAACATATACTGAAATAAACATATACTGTTTAATAAACATATACTGAAAACACTGTTTTTATTGAAATCTATGGTAAATAGGGATAGAACGTTGTGCCTACTTTTGTCAAAATGATATGTTTGGTGCATGATCAATAGCAGTAGTCACTGAAAGTAAGATTTTAGGATGTTGGTCTTTATTCCTGATTTGCTTAATCTTCATATATAAATGTAATCTATTTCATCATAGGTGTTCCACTCATATTACTGGTATGAATGTGGTTTTCAATGAATGCAAGGGAGGCAGCTGTATAACAAGGCAATGCAGACGTGACTCAAAAACGGGGCTGTATGAAGCAAAATGTACATTTATCCCAAACAAATCTCAGACTGCAAGAGACTCCATAATGTTCATGCAAAATCTCAACTCTGTAAGTATAGAACCCCTAGGAAAAAGTTAACTGGGGAGATGAATTTTTACTATGAAACTATGTCTACCAATAGGAAGGAAGAAATTATACAGGCAATTAAATAGAGGTCATTTCCTCCAGCTTTTCGGGATGTATCTGGAAAATTTTCCCATCCTCTCCTTATTAACCTGTTTCATTTATTCACAAGTAGCACTATACTGTTCTCATTGGAGTCGCATAATAAATCCCTAGGGCATCCTTCCCTCATTAACTTCTGTGAACTGTGTCAAGAGCTACAACCTTACTTTTAATTCCTTTTCTAAGAATTAGCTATACTACTTTTCTAAAGTAATTCATAATGCAGCTTTGGAAAGGATTGACATTCTAGATTTCCCATTATCTTCCTATTAAGGCATACAAAGCTATTGCAAAGTGATATTATGAAAACACACACATATGGCTCTATCACCACAGAAAAGATACAAGAGCAAGTTCACTGGAGTCAGATAGGCTTGTTATAAAAACCCAGCCTATAAGTTTCAAGCTTTGTCACTGTGGGCAAACTGCTAAATCTGAGATTTAGTACTTTCATCTCTTAAATAGGAATTAAAACATCTACTTCACATTGTCATTGTTAGGCTTGCAAGAGATAACATAAAGTATTAGCTCAGAGCTTAGCACAAGGGAAGTCAAAATAAATTCAAATTTTTAATTTTTAAAGCATGTAAAAAATTTGAGAAAGAGTTAGTTATCTCTTTCCCTGGATAATTAAGCCCAATCTTTGTTTTCTTCTTTTTTACTTTTTTATTTTTAATTCACACATCATAATTAATTTTTATTCACATATAATGACATCCTGAACAGTGTGATATTTTGATACATGTATATAATGTGTAATGATCAAATTAGAGTAATTAATTTTCCCACCACCTCAAATATTTATCCTTTTTTCTGTAGCAAGAATATCCAAAATCCTGCCTAGCTATTTTGAACTATAGAATAAATTATTGTTTATAATAGTTGCCCTACTGAGCTATAGAATATTAGAACTTATTTCTTAGAACTTTAATTTTATAGCAGTCACCCAACCTCTTCCTTTCTTCCTTCCCCCTATTCTTCTCAGTCTGTTCTAGATTCTGCTTCTATGAGATCAACTCTTAGCTTCTACATATGAAATTATAAAGTATTTGTTTTTCTGTGTCTGGGTATTTCACTTAATACAATATCCTTCAGAGTCATCCATGTTGCTGAAAATGACAGGATTTCATTCTTTTTATTGCAGAATAATATTCTATTGTACATATATACACCATATTTTCTTACCATTTATCCATTGATGAACACTTAAGTTGATTCTATATTTTAGGTATTGTGAATAGTGCTACGATAAACAAGACTGCATATGTCTCTTTAATCTATTAATTTAATTTCCTTCAGATATATACCCAATGGTAGAATTGCAGAATAATATGATAGTTCTCTTTTTAATTTTTAAAGGAACCTCCTCATTGTTGTCTATATTGACTATGCTAATTTACATTTCCACCAACAGTATATAAGAGCTCCTCTCTTTTCTAAGCATCTTATCAGCATTTGTTTTTGTCTTTTTATTATAGCAATTCTAAATAGAGTGTGAGGATATTACATCATAGTTTTGATTTGCATTTCCATGATTATCAATGATGTCAAGCATTTTCTTCTTATATCTATTGGCCATTGTATGTCTTCTTCTGAGAAATAGCTATACAGATCATTTGCCCACTTTTTAATTGGATTATTTGTGTTTTTGCTGTTGAGTTCCCTATAAATTCTGGATATTAATACCTTGTCAGATGGACAGTTTGTAAATATTTTCTCCTGTTCTGAATGTTCTCTCTTGATTCCACTGATTATTTCCTTTGTTGTGTAGCCTGATCTTAATTAATGCAAACTTATTGTAGCTACCTAATGAGTTTCTACACATGCAAAAATATTTTAAAATACAAAACATATGAAAGTTATCAAAAACAACATATCAAAATAAAGTACACAACCTCTAAATAGTAAGGCCACCTTATTTAAAGAAGCAGATTTTCATATACGAAATAACTAGCAACATACTTCTGTAGGCAAGTTTATAAAGATCTATTGGTTCTGAAAAAAATTAATTATTTTCTTCTTTTTGAATTGCAGAGGATGAAACCTAGGGCCTTGCCCATGCTGGGCAAGCACTCAATCACTGAGCCACCTCCTTCATCCCATAAATTTAAAATTATTTTGGTGCATAGGGCATTAATTTTGAAAGGCTTGAGTAAAATATAGGCTTGATATTTTCTTCTAAAATGCTTACACTAACCCAAATTTTAAATAAAAATTGGTTTCCAGCTTAATAAAGCTCCCTCCTGAAGATATTTCACACAAGTAGGGAAGTTTACTTGTATCTGCTAATCAACAAAGGCTAGCCAAGAAGTTCTACATCTAAATAGATTTTTTTTTAAATGTGACACAAGAGGATGATCAGAGTATGTACTACCTGTTCCAAATGATACATTCCAAAATTAACTGATTATCAGGAGATTTATGGCATCTACCCAAAACTTAAATAATAATAAATGAGATTATGTAGCTGAAATATGGAGAGTAATTACATAAGATATGGCTCAGAGATAAATGTTTTAGTGATACATCTTGTCCAGAATAACACTAACTTCCAATTACTATGTCACAGACCAAATATATTGCATAAAATTTGTATCCAGGGCATAAAGTAAGACCCAGGAGAGATATGGTATGAAATATTGAAAATTCAACTTCATGACTTCCTTTCCATAATCTTTATTATTCCTACTTCAAGCCCAGAACTCTATTAGGAGCTAGAAATGCAGAAATAATTAAAGATAAGCTGTCCTTGAGGAATTCAGTTTAGTAAGAAGTGTACAGATACAAGAAAAATACATACAACACAAAGTAAGAAGAGATATGAACCAAATGTTATAAAAGTAGCAAACATTTCCAACTGGAGATCCAAAACTGGTTTCTGAAGATATGTGTTTTGAGCTGGGATTTGAAAAGAATAAGTATGAATTTTCCAGAGCAGGAAGGGAAAGAATATTCTATTCAAAAAAAGAGATTTACAAAAGCAAAGAGTGGAATAAGGCAAGGGTTGCACAAGTTGCACATTGCCTAAATTAAAGAATTTAACATTGACTAGAACAAATCTCAGGCACATAGTGTTAAGGAACTTAAGAAGTGCCTTTTTCTAATTGTACAGAATTACCATTCAAGTTAGTAGAGAACGTGGTGAAAGTTTCTGGCATATTTTAGGGGGACAGAATGAAGTCCTATTGTAAAAGCAAAGGATACATAGTAAGAGTCAGAAAATTAGTCAAAATTAGGTTGAAGCAAGAAATGAAGTCCTACAAAGCTAAGATGTTTGGGTTTTGTCCTCTCAGTTTTGGACTGGTGATGTTATCAGCTTAATTCTTTAAGGAACACAGTTCTAATTGTGAAGAATAGGATGGCATGAGATGAGAGGAAGTGAGGCAGGGAGACGAGTTGGGAAGCCAAGGCAATAGGAAGGTAAGAGACTTGAATAAAGACAGTGGCAATGGTAAAGGAAAGGTCTGACAGGAATTTCACAACAGCTAAAACTGATCATAAACCACTGCTTTAATTGCAAACTATAAGTTTCTCCCATCTAATATAACCCCACTTGGGAGATGTAAATCAGAGCCATGTCAGAAACTAATTTAAATTTTTAAATTATCTTAAAATTTAAATAAAAGGCATTCAATGTTAATAATTTAGTTCTTCTAAAAATGAGTTTACAAATAGAGTGTTTGCATTGAGAGGACATTAAAATAATGACACTATTAAACGTAGTTCTTAGATGCTAAGGCTGCAAGATGATTTCCTACCTGAATATGGCACTAGTATATGAGAACTTTTTTTAAGTTACTAAGTCTTCAAAACTTGGAGGATTTTTACAGATTCTACAATACTGAAACTTCCATTGGAAGAGTTATTGGATTCAATTCCCCATTTTCTATTAAAAGACAAATAATTATATTCCTCATTTCTCCCTATACCTTCATTGTTTTTTAGTGGTATTATTTTATTCTGTCAAAACGTACCAGAGTCAATAAAAATTCAAATTGTTACAATATCTGTCCTCAAGTTTTTCACTCAACTGTGACAATGTGGAATATACTTAGACAATTATACAAGACCATTTCCTCTATTCCACTTTTAAGAAACAGTTCAAAATTACCACAAACTAACACTCTCTCTTTTTCTTTAATCTTAAGACTTGAGCCCCACAAAATCTGGAAGGGAAAGTAAGAAGCTAACAAGCAGGTGTGCAAGCTGCCATCATCTTCCACTGACATTATCTACTTATATCTAAAAGAATTACCAAAAACTTTACCAGTGTATGTTGATGGCTTCACCTTGCTTCCAACCCTTCAAGTATGCAAAATGGATATCAGAATATTTTATTATGAAGAAATCTCTCACTGTCAAAAAATAAAATCTATGGAGGATGTATATGTCAGCTAACTGCATATTTGGAAAGGAATGTCATATTTCACAAGTTATTGCAATATTGTCTCCTAATTGGTTTCTTTCCAGGTAACTGAATTTTGCACAGCAAAAACACACAACATAGAAGCTCCAAACCTACAAAACAAAATGTGCAATCACAAAAGTACATGGGATGTAATCAAGGAATCTGATGATTTTCAGAATGCATCTCCCATGACAGGAACAAATCTACCACCTCATCCTACATTTTCATTGCTCAAATCCAAACATCGAGTAGTCTGTTTGGTACTTGATAAATCTGGAAGCATGAATACAGTAAGACAGTTTTTGCTAACTTTTAAATACTTTATAGAAATATAATTTAATCTTAGTTTTAGTATGCTAAAATATGTATATATGTTCTTATAAATTTTAGCACAATGATTTTATATAAATAAGTACTAGAAGATAATGTTAAAAATTGTTAAATTAAGGTTAGTAGATTGTGAATAATTTTTTATTTCTTAACCTTTAATTCTAACCAAATATAAATTTCCACCATTTAACATGTCACTCTAGTAAAAACTTCAATTTATTTAATGTGAGTATATTTTATATAATGTTTTATAATCTGCTTTTTTTAACATAATATACCTTAAACATTCCACATATAGAATATGTTTCCAGGAGTTTTTTGGTTTTTGAGGTTTTTGGTTTTTGCTTTTTGTTTTGTTTTGGCAGTACTGGGGATTATACTTAGAGCTTCACACACACTGAGCTATATCCCTAGACCTTCATGACATAATATTTAATGGTTGTGTTATACACACAAACACACATATACATATATACATAAACATAAAACAGAAATTTAAACAATTCCATATTGTTGGATATTTTAGAGATTTTCAACTTACTATAAAAAACACATTGCAATGTACATCTTCATATATACTTTTAAATTATTTCCTTTAAAAAATTCCCAAATTTAAAATTTTAACAAAATGTATCGATTTTTAAGGCTTTTACAAGTGTAACAATTGATTTTTTAAGATTTTAATAAAATAAAGGACTTAAATTTTAAAATATATCAATTTTTATCATGATCTATGGCCCATAAAAGACTCTGTCTTTCAATAATCTGTCAAAATTTTTAAAAATTCAGTTAATATATCTTTTTCTTACAGGTAGACCATCTTGTCTCAACTCGTCTCCTTCGAATGAATCAAGCAGCAGAACTGTACTTAATTCAAATTATTGAAAAGGGATCTATGGTTGGAATGGTCACATTTGATAGTACTGCTGAGATCCAAAATAAGCTAACAAAAGTAATTAATGATAACACTTACCTAAAGCTCACTGCAAATCTGCCTAAAATTGCTAGTGGAGGAACTTCAATTTGCAATGGCCTCAAAGCTGGATTCCAGGTAAAATTATTTTTAATTTAATATCATTTGCCATTTACTATTGTTTTTAATTTTTCCATTTATCTTTGAACAAGGGTCATGTGTTCATGAGTTCCTCGTTTAATAACATTCTGGGGGTGGGGATATAGCTCAGTTAGTAGAGTGCTTGCCTTGCATGCACAAGGCCCTGGGTTCAATACCCAACACCACCAAAATAAATAAATAGCATTCTGACACCATTATGGTAAATCTCTCATGGGCAGTTTCACCAACAACCTCCTGAAGTACTAAGTGACAGTGGATAGGTAGGGGGAAAGAAATCCAGTGGGCACAGCCAAATCTCTGACATGCTCATAATACAATTCTCTATGAGTAGAAAATAATATCATTGGGAGATTGTGGAAGAGAGAAATTAATAACACATTTATATTATGGATAAAGAAAACCCTATTCGTCAATTTAAACTGACATTTAAAAATCAGAGATGAGTCGCTCCACAGGCAGTATAGGACCAAATCTAATGAATATCAGGTGGAAGTTTAATAAAAACAAAAGTGTGAACTCAAAAAATTAGGTACAATTTTAAAAAACAATAAATAAATAAGAGGAATACTAGCAGGGTAAAGGAAGGGGAGGTAGGAGAAAAGAGGAGGTAAGGGAAAGTGGAATTACTTTTGAAATACAGTAAATTATATTACATACATATATAAATATGTCAAAATGAACCCCACTATTAGGTATAATACACTAATAAAAACACTTTTAAAAAAAACAGGTGCACCTTTTGAGTAGTATACCAAATTGCCTCTAGTATCATTTGAATTTCTTCCAACCTAAGTTAGCTTCCACTTAAGCCTACTTATTGTCATGTTGTAAGTGACAAGGACAAAAACCTACTGCCCTCACTGATTCCTGTACCTTAGTTAAAGTGGTAGTGCTACTCTTTTCAAGGCCACTAATTAATCCCATCTCTTAACTTCCCTTATGGTACCTATTCATCCTAAAGCACATTAGCTTAAAAAGCTTGGAATCCTGGCTTTATTATTTTATTAACGAAATGATCTTGAGTAAATAACTGACCTAAGAAAATCTGTTTCCTCAACCTAGGTCATGTGGGTATAAGTAGGGCCTAACTTATTTATTTGTGGGAATTTTGTAAGATAAATAAATGCTGAAAAAAGGCTTGCTATTATGAAAATTATCATGATTCTTGTTATATATGTCTATTTATTCTAAAATATGACAGGTTTTATATATTTTGGGAATGTGACAGAATGTTCATGCATACTGGTCTGTATGTTTTTTCTTAATATATTTTTGCATGTTTCTTATGACAGTTTAATCACAAAGTCTATTGCTGATATATTATGCCAAATCACATTCAAAGTTTTAAAAGTTCTTCTTTATTTACATGCTGAAATCATATCAATACATAAAATCAATTTTACATAACAAAATCAAAACAATAGTAGCTATATTTTTTACTATATATTACCTATTTAAATGCTTTGCATGCATGATTTTATATCCTTATTATTACTTTCTGAGTTGGGAATATTATTATGCCCATTCTGCACATAAAGAAACTGAGGCGCAGAGTAATCAAACCTTTCTCAGTGTCTTACAGTCAATAATTACCAGATATACGATTCGAAACCTGGTCTTTCTGACTCTAGAGCCTGTAAACTTAATCCTTACACTAAGCTGTTTATAGAACTCATGTGTGTGTGTGTGTTTGTGTGTGTGTGTGTGTGCATGTGTTAAGTCTTGAGAAAGTCTAAACAGTAATTACTCTAATAAGCAAATGGCAGAGCCAGAATTTGCTTTCAAGGTATCTAATACCAGTGCCAGTGTTCTTAGCTAATACTCTTGGTAGAAATAAGCAAAAGATGAAAAAAAATAAGCCCCATGCAGTGGTGAATGCCTGCAATCCTAGGGATTCAAGAGACTGAGGGAGAAGGATCGCAAGTTCAAAGCAGCCTCAGCAATTTAGTGAGACCCTGTCTAAAAGGGGCTGGAGATGTGGCTCTCAGTGGTTAAGCGCCCCTGTGTTCAATCCCTGGTACCAAAAAAAAAAAAAAAAAAGATGAAAAAATATTTGTGATATTTGATGAATCTATAAACATCCTTCCTCGTGGCAAATCAAAAATTTTTTTCTGAGAAATCCTAAGATTCTATAGTAATAATCGAATAAAATGCACTAAAAAGGCATATACCACATCATTCAATCTTGCTTACCCACCATTTATAATGATTTTACAGATGCTACTTAATCTGCAGCCTGCCAGAGCTGCCTGGATCATTAGCCTCTATCCCAAGTATCTCCTCAGATAATAATAACAATGGCTAGCATTCACTGAGTATTTACTATGTTCCAGAAATTCTTCTAAGTGCTTTATTCTTCCTTTCTGGGATAGCAGGAGTATGTATATTAGAGAGTTAGAAGTGTTGAGACTAGCTTAAAAATCTATTCATTACATCATTTCCATATACCACTCATTCTGGAACAATAATATAAAAAATTTCCTTTGGCTTACTCTGATGTATAAGACTAAAGACTTCTCTAAGAGTAGAAAACAGGTTTATTCTTAATTTAAATGTATTCAGAAATGACATTCTATAATTTAAAATCTGGCTTTCACTACCAGGCAATTACCTACAGTAACCTGAGTACCTTTGGTGCTGAAATCATATTACTAACAGATGGGGAAGATGATGCAATAAGCTCATGCTTTGAGGACATCAAACAGAGTGGTGTAATCATCCACACCATTGCTCTAGGACCTTCTGCTGCCAAAGAGCTGGAGACTCTGTCAAATATGACAGGTAAACCTTTGGAATATTGTTTGGATAGAAAATAAATTTCTAATCTCTCCCATGTCAAAGGCTCCTTCTCCCTAAACAGTAAAACTACTCAAAAATTTCCCATCTTAAAATTAATCTTTGTCCCTTCCTTGTCCATCAAATTAAGCTCTTCTTCCCCTCCTCTAGTTCTTCATATATCAGCTTCTCAAATTATTCAATATTTGCTGTCTTCATTTATTCCTCACCTACTTTCTGTCACTACCACTGTCTTCTCTATGGCTATTCAACTGCAAGTCCAAAATTGTTGCTCAATTCCAAAATACCATTAAGTCCCACAGCAAAAATTTAGAAATTCCCATTTTATAAATGAAGAAATAGTAACCTAGGGACTACAAATGATTTGCCCAAGGACACAGTCCTGATTACTGATTGAGGCCTGTTTTCATTATCCCACCCTGCTCCCACCTCACCAAATCCTGCTAAATCTGTTTGGAATATTTCTGGTTTTCCCCTTTTTAGTTAGTCCTGCTACTACATTCTAATAAAAACCCTGCCAACCTCCTGCTTAGGCTAACTCAATAATATTCCAGCTGGCCTTTCTTCCATTTATTAATTCAATAAATATGCATTGTCACATTTTTTTAGCAGTCACTGTGTTAATTCTTGCCCTCTCCAACTATTCTTTCCTGACTCTTCACACCAAGTAATCTCTCTTCCTTAAATCCTATATTATTTACTTCTGCAATTAATCAGTTTTTACTTAATTCTAAACTGTCATTCTCTGATTGTTTCAGTATGTTTTGGGGCCAACTAGAAAATAAGCAACTGGTTCATATAAACTATATTAGATTTCATTTTACAACATTATTTAGTGCTTAGGCCAGCTTTACTAATGTGGTATATAGCTACATTTGACAATAAATTGATATAAAAACAATAAAACTTGACTTTATTTAAATTTTCCTTCATTCTAACTTATTTGAGTAAGGTTTTAGTTATTGTAGGATTACAGTTGGAACACTTATACACTGAAAATTTCATAAATTTATTGGAAATTCATCTTTTATAAGTTTAAGAAGAAATATAAAATTGATTTTAAAGTATACTGATGACAGCAGAATAACAAATATGATTTACCCATTTAAAATTCCATTTAGGAGGACTTCGTTTTTATGCCAATAAAGACATAAATGGCCTCATAGATGCATTCAGTAGAATTTCATCTAGAAGTGGTAACATCTCTCAACAGGCTCTTCAGGTTGGTATACTAAGAAAAGTCTTTGCTTTCTCACAGCTGTAATAAATTTCTGTTGTCCTAATTATTTACTTTTCTTTCTCTAATAACAAATCTTTTGCTTAAAATTTTATCAGGTATATGGAAGAAAAATATCTTTACTGTGTTTGCTTCTCCATGACACTTACAGTCAATCTATTCCATTCTTCTATTCTTTATAATTACATATGCTTTTATTTGGAAAATTCTTTCATTTTTAATTATTTTAATTGAAATCTTTTGTGTATTTTGTGCTAGGGATGGAACCCAGGGCCTCATGCATGCTAAGCAAGTACTGTACCATTGTGCCACATACCCACTCCTTAGTTGAAATATTAAAACCAAATTTAAAATTACTTTGAACTGAATAAACTTTGAAATGTCATTACCTATAATAACAAATGGATTTTATGTGTCTCTTTTAATTATGTAACAGTTGGAAAGTAAAGCCTTGAATATTACAAGAAGGGAATGGATAAATGGTACAGTTCCCGTGGACAGTACAATTGGAAATGACACTTTCTTTGTTGTCACCTGGACAATACGAAAGCCAGAAATTATTCTTCAGGATCCAAAAGGGAAAATATATAAAACCTCGGATTTCAAAGATGATAAACTAAATATTCATTCTGCCCGACTTCGAATACCAGACATTGCAGAGGTACATCTTTTATCTTCATCATGTTTTATTAATCAAATTCTTTTTGTTTTGCATTTTTTAATTTGCTCTTTTTAGATATCCATGACAGTAGACTGTATTTTGACATATCATACATACATGAAGTATAACTTCCCTTTCTTGTGGTTGTACATGATGTGGGGTTACACTAGTCATGTATTCATATATGAACATAGGAAAGTTACATTCAATTCATTCTACTGTCTTTCCTATTCCCATCTCCCCTCTCTTCCCCCCACCATTCCCCTCTGTCTACTCCAGTGAACTTCTGTTCTTCCCTTCCCCCCTCCCTATTATGTATTACATTTGCATATCAGAGAGAATATTCAGCCTTTAGTTTTTGGATTGCCTTATTTCACTTAGCATGGTATTTTCCAGTTCTATCCATTTACCAGCAAATTCCATAATTTCATTCCTTGTGGCTACCCCATTGTGTATATATAACACATTTTCTTTTTCATTTATCTGTTGAAGTGCACCTAGGTTGGTTCCATAGCTTAGCTATTGTGAATTGAGCTGCTATAAACACTGATGTGACTGCATCACTGTAGTATGCTGATTTTAAGTCCTTTGGTTACATCCCGAGGAGTGGGATAGCTGGGTCAAATAGTAGTTCCATTCCAAGTTTTCTGAGAAATCTTCATACTGCATTCCAGAGTGGGTGCACCAATTTGCAGTTCCACGAGCAGCTTATGAATGTACCTTTTTCACCACAATCTCGCCAACATTTATTGTTACTTGTATCCTTTTTTTTTAATTTGTTATAATAGATTCATATGTGTACAGAATATGATTACAATACTGGTATGACTCTGCACCATGTACAGCCAGAGAAATGAGAAGTTGTGCTCCATTTGTGTACAATGTGTCAAAGTGCATTCTACTGTCATGTATAACTAATCAGAACAAATTTTAAAAAATAGAAGGGAGGGGCTGGGGTTGTGGCTCAGTGATAGAGTGCTCGCCTAGCATGCGTGAGGCACTGGGTTTGATGCATGAGGCACTGGGTTCGATCCTTGGCACCACATAAAAATAAAATAAAGGTTATGTGTCCACCTACAACTAAAAAACAAATATTTTTAAAAAATAGAAGGGAGACAAGTCAAATAGAAGAGTGGATTGTGGGGAGGGAAAGAGGAGGCACTGGAAAATGAAATTGATCAAATTATACTGTTTTATTAATCAATTTCTATGTTAAAAAATAAAGACAATATATTATATGCTGTCAATACTAAAACAGTGACAGATCATCTGTCATAAAAGAGTCAAATAGAATAATTAGGGATGCATACTCATACTATTTGCTAGTTTATAAAATCAGATATTAAAAATCCTTATTATTACTCTTTAAATTTCTAAATAATTTCACATCTCAAACAAAGAAAAGGAAATCATTACCAAAACTCTCAAGGAAACTTTCTTTTTCAGACAGGCACTTGGACCTACAGCCTTCTAAATAATCATCCCAACTCTCAATTGCTAACAGTGACAATGACCACTCGAGCAAGAAGTCCTGCCACACTCCCAATAATTGCAACTGCTCACATGAATCAAAACACAGCACATTACCCTAGTCCAATGATTGTTTATGCTCGAGTCAGTCAAGGGTTTCTGCCTGTTCTGGGAGTCAATGTAACAGCCATTATAGAAACTCAAGATGGACAACAAGTAACATTGGAGCTCTGGGACAATGGTATAGGTAATAGAAATCTGCATTAACTTCCATTGAACTTGAAATTCTCCTATTGGATTCCATGACTTAGAAGTCAATATTTCCCGTGTATGCTTATGAATCATATTTTAAAGAAAATTAATTTTAAATTGTAATTGTCAGTAATCTTGACAAAGCACAGGCATAAGCACATTTATCTTCTTAAAATTTCATGAACAGTTTTACTTTACCTCTGGAATTTAAGAATGCAATTATTCTCCATTTTCATTAGTGTTTCACATATTCTTTCTCTAGCATATTTTCCTTATTTTGATTAGCTTCTTTTATGAATTAGCTAATATTAATTGAATACCTACCATGAATTATACTTTTCCCAAAATCACCAGGTTACCAAATGGCCAAGCCAAGCTTTGAACCAAAACATTCTGATTCCAGGGTTCACGTACTTAAAATACTGTGCTAAATTACCTCCCAAATTGCTGACATCAATAGTGCTCATTAATGGTAGTAATTGTCATTTTTTTTACTTTACTGAATAATTAATTATTATATTTCAATATCAAGGTGCTGATACTGTGAAAAATGATGGCATCTACTCAAGGTACTTTACAGATTACCATGGAAATGGTAGATACAGTTTAAAAGTACATGTTCAGGCAAGAAAAAACACAGCTAGACTAAGTTTAAGACAACAACCCAACAAGGCTCTGTATATACCTGGCTATGTTGAAAATGGTAAGTATCATTAAAATAGAAATGTGTCACTTGTTTACCTAAATTTCAAATGGCAAACATTGAACATATAATGTACTCTGAAAAACCTAAGTACATAACTATGTAATCATCTGTATATTCAACACACTGAGCAAGCAAAGATGAATAAAACAGGAGCTACAAAGATAAATAAAATAATCCTTATCCTCAAAGATTTTGAGTCAAATAATGGAGAAAGATAAGTTAAAAGATAGTTTTAACATACCATGTCTCCTTCTTCATGTCAAAATAATATTAAAACAAGTTTTTTTCCACTAAAAGCTGTTACTTTTTCAAAATCTGCTATCAAACAACATTAATCCTCTATAGTTGCAAGATCAGCTTACAAGATAAAGAATAGACATGGCAAAATGAAAAGTTTTTAAATTACTTTTTTTTATTGGGGGGGTGGTAGGTAAAATTATACTGAACCCACTCAGACCTGAAGTCAAAGATGATGTGGCAGAATCCAAAATGGAAGAGTTCAGCAGACTAACTTCTGGAGGGTCGTTTACTGTGTTAGGAGTGCCACCCAAAGGTAATCAAACTCATGTGTTCCCACCTGGTAAAATTGAAGACCTTGAGGCTGAGTTTAAAGGAGATCATATTCAACTTTTATGGACTGCTCCCGGCAATGTTCTTGATAAAGGAAAAGGTAAGTTTGATACTAATAAAATATACTAAAGAAATACCATTGGCTTTAATTTACTGAAAATTTCCTAATGTCCCATTTACAAATAATATTTATGGAGTGTCTACTATAGGCCAGTATTCATTTATTTTCAAATGTGAGAACTGAAGCTCCAAGAAATAAAGAACTAGCCCAGGTCACTTCTATAATATTTAGAAACAGAATTCTAAACCCCTCTTGTCAGATTCTGTTGTGCCAAAAACTCCCTCTCACAATTGGAACCATCTTGAAATTAGTTTGAGAAGATTGAGCAAACAGTTTTCTATTAAATTCTTTTCCCCCAAACAAGGGAAAATTTTTTAAAGTATTTCCATACTTGCACAATTTTATTTATTTACTGATAATTTTGTTGAGTTTTCAAACACTATTAAATTCCAAGAAACAGTCTCAACTTTCAATATTTAATCGAATACAGAAGACACACAGTTAGACAGATAATTTCATACAGTGAAATAAGAGAGAGGTTATTATAAACACAGAACGATATGGCATCTCTTTGGTGGACTACAAACGTCCAGTTGACATTAGGATCACAGAGTATATATATTTAAAAGGCATACCAGAGGCGTCTATCTCTGACCTGAGTCTTGAATAATGAAACTTGCAGACCAAGTTAGGTGAAGATGACCCATTGACAGATGCTCATGTGCAAAGAAACTCACTAGTTCAGGAGATTTGGCCATGGAATTTGAATAAAGTTCAAGACCGAAATATCTCATTTACTCAAATTCCTAATAATAAATTGCCCTAATTTCAAAAAGTTTATATCACTTCTATCTTTGCTTTACACTTAGCTAAATTCAATCAGTATTTATTGAATATCTGCCATATTCCAGTATTATATAGACTAGTAGATTTTTACATGACAAAGTGAATCTTGCTATTTCCCCTGTACAGTGAGAAAATGAAAGCAATATATGATGTTGATAAACATTCTATCTCAAGGTCTGTAGGTGCTGAAACACCAGGTAGTCAGTAACTCTTTCTCTTGGGTTTCAATAAAATGCTTACTATATTAAGGTTCTCAAAATAAAAGATGCTTTTTAATCTTATACCAACTTATACAGCATTTTTAAAGCTGTATTTCTTTTTTAGAAATATTATACCAGGGAACAGAATCTTTCACAAGTCAGAGAAAATATAATACAACCACAAATAGATATTTTGTACTTCAATGTTGAAAACTCAACTGTGACAGCTTCTAAAATATATTATTTTCTCATAATGATTGTTAAACATATGGCAAAATCAAATAAAATTAAAATACTAATACTTGCACTAAAAAAGTCACAAATGAAATTACCTAACCAAATATTTAGTTCAAAATTCAATTCAGTAAAGACCAAACCTTCAGTAAGATTGTGTCTTAATAAATGTCCCTCATGCTTATTATAGGAACTAGAATTAGAAGTAATGCATTACTTATAGACACTGAGATCCATAAGAGAAAGTGCCTAAATTGGTGGGATCTAATCTCCCTCTTTTCTTGTGACATACAGGAAGAGGTAAAAGTAACCATCAAATATTACCTTCAGACATTACAAAAGTAAGGTAGTAGCAGTATCCTAAAGAATAAATGAAGGCTGGGAATGTAGCTCAGTTGCTAGAGTGCTTGCCTCACATGCATCAAGGCCCAGGGTTCAATCCCCAGCACCACAAAAATAAAATAAATAAATGAACATCTATATAATCTCAAATGAGGCACTTAAACCCAATGGGACAAAACTACATACCTGTCAAATATGTAAATTAGACCAGATGATCTCAAAATTACTAAAACATGTAGATATAATTCTAGTATTTTATGATACTCTACTTCAATCATTTCAAGTGTCAACAACTGTAATGTTGGACAATAAGTAATTAAGGTGACCAAATACATGCCCATTACAGTATCAGATGCCTTAGATAATACAAAAGAAGTATAAAAAATAGTCTTTGAGCCAGGCACAGTGGTGTATGCCTGTTGTCCCAGTTACTTGGAAGGCTCAAAAAGCAGGATCACTTGAACCCAGAAGTTTAATGTCAGCCTGGGCAACACTCTGATTCAAAAAAGAAAAAGAAAACCTTTGACTTTCGATAACAGGACCTCACCTGAATGAAAAATTGAACCCGAGCCAGGCATGGTAGCACATGCCTGTAATTCCAGCGGCTTGGGAGGCTGAGATAGGAGGATAGCAAGTTCAAAGCCAGCCTCAGTAACAACGAGGCACTAAGTAACTCAGTGAAACCCTGTCTCTAAATAAAATACAAAAATAGGGCTGGGGATGTGGCTTAGTGCCCCTGAGTTCAATCCCTGGTACAAAAAAAAAAAAAAAAAAAGAAAGTAAGAAAATTGAACTTCCACATAACAATCTGGAAAACTCCATTCCATGTAATATGAGTTCATGGGAGACAATCATCAGGGTGCATGAAGTATTTGACCAAGACTTCATGAGAACTTGGTCCTCGGTTGGACCTTAAAAAAAAAATGAGTATAAATTGCATATAGCAAGAGAGAAGCACACTGCAGGAAGAGAAGGAACCTTCACACTACATGATCAAGGTCAAGAAAGCAAAACTTCACAATGGAATAGCAGAATTAAAGTAAGGGATTGGTACCTAGATCCACCTTAATGGAACATGGGATTTGTGTAAATGGTAGAATGACTCAATTAGGCCTATCTATGGAGAAATTATTAAATAGAAGGTTTGAATGGAAAAAAACTGAATCAGTTATATTCTTCATACACTTGAAATATCTTCAATATTTCCTGAAAACATAAAGTCTTCACTTCAGAAAAGGGTATTTGATGTTTTACTCTCGTGTTTCAGAATGTTGGAAGATATTTTTATATCAATTACTGGTGTATATCTAAAAGCAGTGTGGCATGAAACATTTACACAGGCATCTTCTTTCCTTTTCTTTAATAATTATAATAGCTAATGAATGTTTGAATTCATTAATGTTTATTAAATTATGCTAAACACTTTTCATGCATTATCATTTACCATTCTCACCACTAGAATTATTGAATAACTATTTTACAGGTGGAGACAAGAAAGGTTATTTTTTTTTCTTGTTGTTATTACACAGTTTGAGAATAGAAGAATTCTGGTCCTAATCAAGGTCTGCCTAGTTTCTGAGCACATATTTAGTTAGTACAAATCTCTACCTTATTTTGCTCTTTGTCCTTGTCTCTCTTTCCTTCTCTATCTTCTTTCTTACTCCCAATATTCCCTCTCTTAAGAAATAACATAAATGCAAGGTACTAAAGGTCTTTAATGTATTTGAACATTATTGTATTTCTTGTTCTAAATTAAAAAGTGGATTCAGTTCTATATATTTCTCTTTTAAAAAAGAAATTTAGATTCTGGTTCTGTAAGTAGTATATGATAATGAATTAAATTTTTCTGTGACTAGATAACTATACCTAAAAAAACTTTACATATATTTGTCCTTAAATAACCAGATAAAAAATGTATCTAAGGGTCCAGGGTTGTGGCTCAGTAGTAGAGCACTTGCCTAGCATGCATGAGGCACTGGGTTTGATCCCTAGCACCACATAAAAATAAAAACAAATAAAATAAGGGTATTGTGTCCATCTACAACTAAAAAAAAATTATATATATATATGATTTCCACAACTAAAACCTACTGTGAATTTTTGATAGCTCCTAAACGTAAGGTAGTGCGACGGCAGTAAAGCATCCTGGTGATTTTAACAGACATGTGTTTGTTTTTCAGCTAAGAGCTACAATATAAGAATAAGTAAATGTTTCCTGGATCTCCAAAAAGATTTCGATATTGCTGCTTCAGTAAATACTTCTGCTCTAATACCTAAGGAGGCTGGCTCAAAAGAAATTTTTGAATTTAAACCAGAATATTTTAAAATAGAAAATGGCACCAAGTTCTATATTGCAATTCAAGCTATCAACGAAGCCAATCTCACTTCAGAGGTTTCTAACATTGTACAAGCAACCAAGTTTATTCCTCCAAAGGAAACTAGCATCCCAGCTTTGGGTACCAATATCTCTGCAATCAGTTTAACAGTTTTGGGATTAGCTGCAATTTTATCTGTATTTTAAACTAAAAATTTGTTCTAACTAAAATTCAATGTTACATATACTTGGTAAACATCTATTTAGAAGTAATTTACTAAACTATACAAAATTCTTTGTAGTATATATATATATATATATATATAAAATTATAAATTTCTTAATTATTTGAGTTAATACCAATCAAGTTACTAAATGTACATCAAAATTAATAATTCCTATCTTCAAACAATCCATCCAATATTTTTTAATATTAAAGAAAATACATATTTATAATTATGGGCTTCATAAGAAATATTTTCAGAGTATGCACAGATTTATATAGTATATTAACAAAATCAAAATTTTTACAAGTTATTTAAAAAATATTTATGTATACACAGTAGTATAGAATTTTTTAGAACGATGTATATATGCTTGATTATGAGTGAATACTTCATGTTTACATAAACTGTAATCCAAAATGACTATAAAGATAATTTTTCAATGATAAATGATCCAAAGTCAGCCTGGGAAACACTCTGATTCAAAAGAGAAAAAGAAATCCTTTGACCTTAGGAGGTAAAATTTACTTTCTTTTCATTGATTAAAAGTAGTGTATCAAAGTTTCAGCCTTAAGCATGAAATAACTGGCAACAGTACTATTTCATATAAATTGTGGAACATCATAATAAAGTTCTATTTTTATTCTGAGGTCCTAAAAGTATTACCAAGATGGTTCACTAGGACAGGAAATTGTTTATGCTTAGCATCCAGAATGGTACTTGATATGTAGTAGATATTCAATAATACTTGTTAAATAAGCTAATGAATATTTTCATCCTCTCAAAAGAAATACAAATTTGACCCTATTACATCAAAAATGCTCATATAATATCAATGCACATAGTTATTTGTTGTGAGGACTTCATGTAATTTGCTAGCCACTTAACATTGTCTGAGCCAATATATAAAGTTCATAAAATTAATTGTATATCACCTCAATGGAATTTATAAGCTAATAATATAAATTAAGCTATTAATATTGCAATGGTGGGATTTTTCTGAGGGGGAGAGAGAGAGAGTTTTATATCAAAGGAAAATCCTTTGTTTATGGGCAAAATTTCAAAAAGCTTTCAAATACATACAAAGAAGAAGTTATATAAAAATCATAAAATATTAGCAAACCAAACCCCTAAGAAAATATAAAAAATAATAATATATCATGACCAAGTTGAATTTATCCCAAAAATCAAAGACAACTTAATATTAGAAAATCATGGGGCTGGGGTTGTGGCTCAGCGGTAGAATGCTCACCTAGCATGTGTGAGGCCCTGAGTTCGATCCTCAGCACCACATATAAATAAATAAATAAAATAAAGTTGTTGTGTCAACTTACAACTAAAAAAAAAGATTTTAAAAAAAGTTAAAAGATTACTATATTTTACCAAATTAACAGATTATAAAGGAAAATTAGATTATCATCTAAATACACATAGAAAAGTATATTATAATTCAACCATCATTCTTCATTCAAAATGAAATTTTTGAAAATTATTAGGCTAATATTTTAACCTTAAAGTCCAAACTCTGATCATTTGAAAATAAAGAAAAAGGGCATTAAATCTTCAGGTAGAGATAAGAAATTAGACATCAAAAAGTAATAATTCTAAATTCCAGGAAAATAAAAAAATTCTATCGATGTTATATGAAAGCTTATAGATTATAAAATTATGAAATCCTATAGAATCAGGAAATGGTAAATTTATGTTCCTATACTTGACCAGTATACTGAATGATAGAGCTTTAGCAGGTACTGTAAAAAGCAAAGTTCCCATGCAATAAGGAAAAAAAAGGAATAGAAGATATAATAATTGAAAAAAATATTAATTTTTGCAGGTGACATAAAAATACAATAGAATAAAAAATTTAAACAAAACTAAACTGAAAAGCTGCCAGACACAAAATAAATTATAAAAAAAATCAATAGCACCCAGTCATTACTTTCATCTTTAAAACAAGAAAAAAGGTGTACTGAAAATCACCAATTCTTCTTAGATCTATCAGAGAACTGAAATCACACTGCAATCTGCTACCAGAAAATTGGAGAGACAGGCAAATACAGAAAATCGTAGATTATCAGGAACAGAAACCTGCCAGTGAAAATACCAGTAGAAACTGGTATGATGAAACTGTAAATGATGAATTGCAAGCAACTCTGAGTGGATAAGCTTGAGAGTTAAAACATGTCTAGGAGCCTCACCACATTCTTAGAGTGAGCACTAAGGAAAAATGAGAGACTTTCAGGAAGGAAGGAAGAATAATAACAATTTGGAGATATGCCTAGAGAATTCTGTTCACCTTAACAAAAGCCTGTCCTCAACGAAGCCTAACTGCCTTAGGTTAGTTGGTTAGTTAGTGCCTAACCAAGTTGGAGTAGGGAAAATACTCAACTCCAGTCTCTTATATTCTTCCATATGAAAGAGGAAAATACCCAATTTAAGAGTCCTCTAGTATTCCTTCTCATCAAAGGGGAATAAAAGGCTGAAAAGCACTTGTGAAAGTCACAGCCCTGGAGAGACAAGCACACTAAAAGACTGAGACCTAGGTTTAGGACTACATGATAGTCCTCCACACACAACATACCACTACATTAATAGGCTGCTATATATGAAAAGGAGACTATGGATGAAAGAACTAGAAACCTAAAACCCAATCTAAGACAGTGCCTCTAAGGAAACTCAAAGATAACCAGGGAGTTAACAAAAGTACCCTAAAGAAAATTTTTGACACCTAAAGCTACGGCAAACAATAAACACAATCTAACTTCTAGCCAGGTAATATAAAACCTCACACCAATAGCCTGTTTACCACAGTTCATTTTACCTAAAACATCATGTCTGACTTTTGATGAAAAATTGCAAGGCATATTAAAGAAAAAAATCTGAAGAGAAAGTGGGAGAAAAAGGACATTATGACCAGATTGAGATATAATGAAAAATTTGGAATTATCAAACCAAGAATTTAAGTAACTGTGGTCAATGTGAGAAAACTTCTAATGGAAAAGGGGACCATATGCAAGAATGAGACATGGGTAATAGTAAGAACGAGAGACACAGAAATCCTAAGAGAGAATCAAAAATGCTATAAATATAAAATATTGTAACAGTAATGAAAAATGCCTTTGGTGAGCTAATCAGTAGACATAACACAGCTGAAAAATAATTACTAGCTTTAATATATATCAGTATAAACTTCTAAAACTGAAAAAAAGGAGAAAAAAACAAACTGAAAAGAATTTTCAGGAACTGTGGAATGATTACAAAAATGTATAACATACATGAAATGGGAATAAGAAGAAGAAAGGAACACAATAAATATTTAAAGTAATAATACCTAAAAATTTTCCCAAGTGAATGAAAGACATTAAACCATGGATCCAAGTAACTCAAAGAACACCAAGCACAATAAAGAACTATAAATAGGTATATCACATTAAAACTTGAGAAAGTAAAGATAAAGACAAGGTCTTGAAAAAATATAAATTAAAAAAATATTACCTATAGAAAAATAAGGACAAGAATTACATCAGACTCTCTTCAGGAACCATGGAAGCAAAAAGAGAATGAATTAGACATTTTTCCCACATTTTTTAATTGGTACATTATAGTTGTACATAATGATGGAATTCGTTGTTATATATTTGTATATGCACATGATATTGAAGTGAACTCTTAAAATGCTGAAAGACAGCCCAGTGTTGTGGCATATGGCTGTAATTCCAGTGATGCCAAGGGCTGAAGAAGGAAGATTTCAAACTAGAGGCCAGCTTCAGCAACTTAGGGATACTCTCAGTGATTTAGTGAGACCTTATCTCAAAATAAAAAATAAAAAGGAATGGGGATGTAGTTCAGTGGTAAAGCACCCCTGTGTTTAATCTCCAGTACCAATAAATTTTTTTAATGGTTGAAAGAAAAACCACCATCAAATTCTGTTCCCAGAGGGGAGGGGATGGGGGATAGTAGAGGATAGGAAAGGCAGCAGAATACAACAGACACTAGTATAGCAATATGTAAAACAGTGGATGTGTAACCGATGTGATGCTGCAATCTGTATACGGGGTAAAAATGGGAGTTCATAACCCACTTGAATCAAAGTGTGAAATATGATATGTCAAGAACTATGTAATGTTTTGAACAACCAACAATAAAAATTAAAGGAAAAAAATAAAAAATAAAAGATAATAAATTAAAAAAAATCTGTTCCCAGAAAAATTCAAAAGTAAAAGAGAAATAGAAAATTTTTTAGAAAAACAATCAAGGAAATTTTTCTCTGGAAGACCTGCTTTGTAAGAAATGTGGTAGCATCCTTCAAGATATACCCCCATGACTCTTGCCTCCTGGTATATATACCATTGTATGAACCTTATTCTCAGTTCACAGGTCTTCAGATCAAGTAGAACTTTACTTGAGAAATTACACCCAAGGAGCCTCATCTGCCCCTAAACATAATTTATATGAGAATCTATACTTCAATCTAATGCTATAATGGAATGAAACTTTGGGAAGCCTTGTTAGAAGGATAAGTAGATTATATATGTGGGAAGAACAGTAATTACTGGTAGCCAGAGGACTGACTGAGATAACCAGCCTCCAAGAGGGCCCCCCAATCACACTTACTTACTTATATAGTCCTCTACCACAGTTAGGTAAGATTATTTGTACAACTAGGTTATTTCAGGAATGTTGGAGTGTGACTTCCAAGGCTAGGTTATAAATGGCATTGCAGCCTCTACCTTACTCACTTACTCTAGGAAATGTCAGCTGCCATGTTGTGAGAATACTAGTTTCTCTATCAAAAGATTCATGTGGTAAGAAGTGATGACACTGCAATGGCCAGTGTCATTTTGCCAGCCATGTGAGTGAGCATCTTGGAGAAGGATCTTCCAGCTCCAGTCAGGCCATCAAATGACTGTAGACCCAACTGACATCTTTACTGCAATCACATGAGAGACCTCAACTCAGCACAAGGAAGCTAAGGTGCATCTG